CAATTGCTGTCGTTGATTTTGATGTTCAGATACATGCGCACCGTAGTTTCCAACTCTGACAGGATGAATAGTTGGATGCTGGTCGAATCATGCTCCCTGCCCGCGGATTGTCAGCGTGGATAAGACAGGTAGCACACGAACGGCGGATGACATCGCAAGGGCAAAATATGAAGTGCCGAGAATGACATTGAACTGGCTCTGAAATGGGTCACATAAGAAGTAACTAGACGGATGCATCAGTTTCATTTAGATAGTGTACATCAGTGGTCAACGCAAAATCCAATGTAGTCCAAGGTGGACGTGTGCAAGGCATTCTCCATACATTACAAGAGTACCTATTCTTACAGGCTCGGAATGCATCTACTGCGGCAATTTTCTCTTGAAGACGAGCTTCGCGTCCGGGTTCAGGTTAACTTGGGTTCTTCCAAGCATTCCACAAAGACATCGGAGTAGTATACACTTCTAATTTACGACAGGTGCCCAGTGCATATGTTCGTCCCATGTCGAATACGCAATTCAAGCCTAGTGGACATGGCTGAGGCACAGTCTCACTACACTGGATCTGTCTAAATTCCGGGCTTCCAAATACTTCATAGGAATGCGTCACCTTACATGTGATCAGAGGCTGGAACGTTTGGGAGCATTCAGCGGATAGTATTGCCGATTACGAGGTGATTTAATAATGACCTACTTGACTTTACACAATCCAAATCCTATGGGACACTCTTTACTGCAGTGCAGCAATAGCCTACACGAAGTCAAGCATTGTAACTAGTAAATCGATACAGCCATCTGGAGTGACATAGCAATTACTTTTCTGATCACGTGCGTCACCCGTGGAACGCTCACTCCGAATGAGTTTTTATACACTTAAACTAGCCATATCTAAAAGTCGGTTGGACAACGCAGTCAGCGGCTTACATTTTGTTACTTAACACTAGCCCTTCATCGCACCCGTAGGAAATACCTGCAATCGGTTCGATCCTCCTTGGAGGACCAAGGGAATGCGCGCCACTGACGAGCCCCAATAGGGCAAAACGCTTCTGGCGCTTTCCCGAACTAGGCTATGCTATGTAGCTTGTGAACTATTGGGATGAAAGCTTTATCAGAATTACAACTAAGATCCTGCTACTTGTGAGTAATTAGTTATTTGTTGCCTATTGGCTCTGTGAACTCAACCAGAGTACAGGGTTACTGCATTAAAAAGCACTAAATGCATTTTCTCATTTACGCTTTTTGATAACCCACCAGAGCACCCAACGGGGCTTGTAAATCAATACTTCTTAACTCATATAACCACATTATTCATTGAGGCTTGCTGCAAAATGTGGCATCCGTCCTGTGTTCAACGTAAATTACAGAACCAGAGAAAAGAGGCGTCAAACCAAACACAGGGCAACACAGCGCTTGTAAAAGCAAACTAAAGCATGGGAAAAGGGTTAACTGCGGTTTCTTTTAGACGGCGTTGTAATGTGGGTCAGGATTCAGGACTTCCCGAAAGATCCATTAGTAGAGGTGCATTTGTTAAGTGGAGAGTATCTGCGCTGTCCACACCAGCTGGCTGAGAATACAGCCGATGACCATCACCATGAAGATCCATGGTGACAAACAGGAGTATTTCGCTCATAGTTTATGCGATGTACACGAGAGCTTTATACGGTCTTAAATCCATTAACCTTAATCGATTACAGTAGGTAGAAGCGTTTCAAATGTAGGTAGACTTTAGGAGGTACTGGTCGAAGTATTCTTGAGGTTTCGAGGGTCATAACGCACTTGTTTACGAATTGAAATGATAAAGTTGGTGCTGCCGTCTATGTCCACTCATTGAAAAGCTTTCTAATTTCGCGATACATGAAAAACCTTTCACAGTCTGACACTTCCGACATAGTCACTTGGTTTGCTGTCAACCAAAACTGCTTAGAATTTCCTGTATGGGCTTCCTATAGTGCTAGGCCCATCCCTATGCCCTTTTGAACTTGAGGGATAACGTTTAAGTCTGGATTGGACGAAGCATTATACGCAACAGGAAATTTGGCTGCCGAACAACCTCCTCGTGGTGCCAGCTGGGTGATTCGGGTTTACCCCCCTTCAGCAAATAGTTCGGCGGCAGTGTTCCAGGACGTGGTGGGTTTTCGCCTGGCAAGCGTTCTCCCTATAAAAAGCCACGTATGTCCGTTTAACAACACTGTGACGTGGCGGTTGTGACTCGCCACTAACTAAAGTCACCCATTGCTTATCCGAACAATCTCTTCAAGTCCACAGATAGCAAGTACTGGCGACACCTTCAAACACATTCAAGCAAAATGACAGGAGACATTTACCAATCCCATAAACAAAGCTAAACGCGCCTTCATGCAAATTTACATACATTCATATATAAACATATGCAACAATCCCATTGTTCCATTGTACATTAACTGATCACATTTTGTGCTCTTAACATGATCATGCCTGCGCAGGCGTGCCTCGCTTAGTCGAGAATACACAATTTATTTATTTATTTATTTATCTTTTTCGAATCCAATGTTTATACTTCAAGCCTATCTCCTCTGACACCCTTGTCACACACATCCGCTCACTCTGCCCAGGACACGTGAGTGTTCAGGTTACAAGAACTGTCTACTCGCTTTAGCGCCTTTCTTCAAACTGACGGCGTTCGACGGCCGCTGTAGTTACGGTGCACTTACTCAGAATACCACGGCGTCAAACACGGTGCGGTAACAATCGATCACTTCAGAACGAGCCCCCGTGACAAAGTAGTGTCGTCAAAACTGTGTGGAAGTCTGCACCACAACGAAGCTTAACCCTACCATGCCTCATCCACATAAACTGAACAGGATTGTAGCGCTTGTTAATGCGGTTGGCGGCAACCCCTCGTTGTGCACTATCGGTCGTCGCAGTACGGAGGTGAGCAAGATGAACATCCAAGCGAATTTAGCCAAGGTAAAATATCACCACAAGTCCCCTACGTCCTCTACAGATTCGCCAGTGTGGTACGTACTGTTCAACAATAATGGGATTTGGACTCACGAATAGCCCCTAGCGAGGCAGCGGCTTGAACTATCAAGCCACCGGGACAACGATGAGACACATTGCACCCCTTTAAAACGCTCCAGGATCCGCTTGGGACTATCCACAATTGTCACATTTGTTGGGTACTGCGTCTGAAGTAGGAGGGGCGAGGAACGTGCCCGGGGGTTCCGTTCACATAAGCTGGTATGCGGGGCATGGATGTGCAGATCCAAAGTGCGCTGCTCGGTACTACTATTGGTTGTGGTCCTTCCGCCTTTGTTCTAAACCAACCAAGCCTTTGGTAATTTGTTAAACTTTCTAATTCATTGTGCCACTCCAGATAATGATAGCAATTACGCAACGTAACTATTCGAAACACCTTTATACGCACATCCACCAGTTCTTTGTGCACAGATTTCCCTCCGCGTACTTTTTAGCTTCGGATACCGCCAATCGAATCACCTGTCGTATGCCAATGTGATGTAGTGGAGGCTGTCAAAGAACCTCCTATAGTAGAATGTCGCAATGACCACGCAATGCTTCGGCGCCTACTTTCCCATCCATCGTGCTCAGGTTAACTTCACAGCTCGGTGGACAAGCGTAGTGATATCCGCCCAACTGTGTAATGCGGTTCGCCTCCAACCACGTAACGCCTGAGTTGCAGTCCAAAATGGAAGCTCAAGAGGAGTATTCAATCTGCCCATTATATAAATAAGAATGTCGTGTCAAGCAACACACACTCACGCCAATGCTCTGATGTCACCCGCATACATCAACCTTAGACCGGACTGCAAGTACAACACGTGACGGAAGTAAGGTTCCAGTTGCATTCGTGGGTTGCGTGCATGAAACGTGTGCAGCTTGGTGGGCAAGTTCTGACAAACGCCAAATTAGACACATGCGTTCAGTTTCGACATTGTAGATGCGCAATTTGTGAGCAGTGCAACAGAACACGACTCCGCGGATTAGGGGATCGCATGTACGCCACAACGGAATCCAGCACGGCCAAGAGCAGAGATGTGACCCCGCAAATGGAATCGGTACGTCAGTTCATCTGGGCACAATCCCTGCAAACGGATAGCTTACGTAGCAACGCATCCGCCGTATCAACTGCTATCATTCACTTACCTGGTATGCGCAAATTTGGACGCGAGCGAATGCATGCTTGAGTGCGGGCGAGGATACATTAATTTCTTCTCTTTGCCGTGAGAACGGAGACACCCATATATGTGAACTCTCGGACGTTCCTGGCTCCTTTTGCGATTTCAACAGCTGCGCGGTCGGTGGACAGCACAAACCTTCCCTGCCCAAAGATGATTTGGGCCTGGTGGATAGCAGCCAAATGCTAGGCGAGCTTATGTCAATTAAGAACACCGTAAGCACAAATGACGCAGACTGGTTAGTGTACGGTGGGAACATGAGATTCCCTAGACCTTGGAAGTATGGAACACCGGGAATTTGCACTGATGTGTCAGGCCAAGTGCAAGTTTCCTTGCAATAGGGACTCCGCTGGAGTTTCTCCTACACCCTCTAACTTCACTTGCTACTAGCAAGTAGTAGCGAACCTGGATTGTTTTTTAAGTATTCATCGCACCTGTGCGTCAAACGACCGTCTAGTATTTTTGATACTCCGCAGTAGCGTTCACCCGCCATGAGTTCAAATCCGGTGGGATTTGGCAGCTATGCGCTCTTGAAGAGTCCAAATAGGACGGGACGGTCGTCTGTGCTTTCCTAGATGTGTGGTAGCTGCCTGCATAAGTTGGCTGCGACAAATTCCAGTACTACTCCAACAAAATACGATATCATTTCAGAAATCAATTAAATAGTGTCAATTGATACCTGGTCCGTCAAGTTATCCGTTAATACAACGAGAAGTCGCACACCCACCTACCTTCGATTCTATCAGCTCCTTCCTATGTCGTGCTATCACCAAAACGGAGAACGCAAATCCAAAGAAAACTTCATGTGAATTGCCAGCAGCAACTTACCGTGTGGTTGACGCGCGGAATGGACAGAGAAGCTTTTCGCTAGGATAAAGTTGACGGTGAAACCATATCTATTTTCGGAGAACGTTGGATACCGACCAGCAGCGAGTTTCTGTGTACCGATGATGATGCATTTTTGGGATATTAGAATTTTCATAACTAAGGTAGTACATTAATGGACACGTTATTGTGCCGTGATAAATTCGTCCTGTTCTCTTTCGGAACAAATACGGTGGTATCGGGAACCGGGAAACAGACAAATAGCTATTGCAGGTGGTGGAAGGCTGCGGGGCAGCACATACCACCAAGTCGAAGTGGCCAGTCAACACAGGGACATAGTGGAGCACGTAGGCAAATTTAGCAAATTTGCACACTCATCAGACTTCATGCCTGAGCTAAAGCAGTGTGTTCGATACATATGGAGTCGATCCGTAAGGAAGAATGAACAATGAATTCATACGGGTTAAGAAGTGTTGCTTTACATGTCCTGTTGGGTAGTTGGTGTGGATTTCGAAATAACCATAATGATAATAATGATCGTAAAGGGATTAGTACTTTAAATATGAAAATAAGGATTTATCGTTTGCTCCGTTGTAGTCCTGCAATCCGCTTAGATTCACAGCACCCGCAGTTAACAACAAATAATTCCATGGTAAACTCCAGGTGTAGGATGGAGACGTAGTGCTAAGTGACAAAGTGTACGTGGATGAGTGCATCATCCAACCGTCTTTTAAATACTGTGATTGTCGGTGCAGAGACGACCGATCCTCGGAGAGCATTCCACGGGTGACAGACACGAATAGAGAGGAAATTTATGCAACCCACTGGACGGCTATACTGTTCTGCGAGATTTAATGAGTGGCCCCACAGGGTTGTATTGGTGCTGAGTCGCAGTAGATGACGACACGCATGATGTGGGCCTCGCAGAATCAAGTATGCCACATTCAGGTCAGCTCGTAGTCTGCGATAGCTTCCACTGAATACCCACAATCGTTGCAACCTGGCCCCATATGAATAATTGCGAATTCGAATGGCGTTCTTAGATGCCTGACGTTGTACCTGCTTTAGTATATTAAGGTCGTGTTTCAGCCATGGATGCCATCCTTGAATTGCGTATTCGACATAGGGGAGAACATACGCATTGAGCATTGGTCAAAATATGGAGCTGTTTAGTTGTCCAAACGCTCCTCGCTACAGTCCGACTTGCTGGTTTCCAGTCTTTGAGGCATTTTCAGTTTACCTGGAGCAACCCAAGTCATGTTGAACCAGGACTGCCAAGTCACGTTCGACAGTTGAATGTTGCAGTATATTCGGTCCGAACCGGTATAAGTAGCCACTCTGATGTCGGATGGACAGTACCTTGCATTTACTGACGTCGAAATGCAGTAAGTTTTGGGTTGACCATTGTTATACCGTATCTATGACACTCTGAGGCAGATGCTGGTCGGCGTTCACCTGCATCCTGCGCCAAATCTTGATATCGTCGAGTGACATTAGGAAGTTTGAAGCGATTCCCTGGGCATGGTCATTATTAGACATCAACAACAAACGTGAACCTAGAACTAAGCCTTGCGGCACACCACACTCGACTTGTATGGGGCCTGATTAAGAGCTCCAAACTTTGACCACTAATCGCCGTTGAAGTAGAAAGTTGCCAGTTCAGCTTAAAAGAGCGTAGACAACCCCGTAATGCTGGAGCTTGGAGAGTAGTGTCCGATGGTCTAGACGATCGAAAGCCTTTGAAAAATCCAGGTAGATCACATCAACGCCTTCTCCAGCGTCAGCTGACTCGGTCCAAATGCTGCTTGCGATCAGTAAATTCGTTGTGCAAGACCGCTGCCGACGGAAACCGTGCTGCTCAAGCTTGATGACGTTGCATTTTTCCACATAACACCTAGAGCTCTGTGTTTCGTTGTCAGAACTACAATCTCCTTGGCTTTGTTTCCCGCACCATACTAGGGGCTTGCTGGCTGCGCATGCAAAATAATTGTCTAGCGCAATGAAAAAGCGTAATGAAGGTGATGGCTAGTGAAATTCCACATCCTTCGCCAACGCTTCAGCAACCAATTCAGGCAAGCGAAAGAGTTTCCTAGATATTTCTAAGGAATTCCCTCTGTTGGCTAAAATCAAAGGGAAAATTTTCTTTCCTGCAAAAATAAGGTCGTTATGGGTAGTACAATTTTGCAACGCAAACTTGTATGTGAGACCAGAGGTTTCACTCAGTAGATCACACAATTCTACTAGGAAACTTGCGTGAAGAAGAAATGTGGTGAATTATGGCAAGGTAGTATTTCTGTCGACATTAGCAAAGCATGCAATTTATACTGCGTTTTATAACACACCGGGGTTGATACTTACGGTAGTCGGTATTCAGCTTCGTATATCACAATGGCCTGCTGACTAAACTCATAATTTAACTATACTTTGCCCTCCATCTTACTCCTTCTTTTTGTGGCGTCATTCTGGACTAGATGCAACATTGTGTGTATTCTTCACCTCCTCCGATTCGCAATCGAGGAACCATCTAAGCAATTTTTTGTTTCACTCCGAAAACGTGAAGATTATCGGTATATATCCTTGACTTCCTCTTTTCATTCACCTCCGTGTCAATCCACACGCACGTCACGCTTGAACTTTTCCACTCTCTTGGAGAGCATGTAGAGGAAACAAATTGATGCTTGGAAGCGAGAGAACGCTAAGTAGCGCTTAATCTGGGATAAATATCCCTAAGGTAGGTCGCACCGTTTTCTTCTTTGTCACCGGACTAGACAGAACGCTTCACTTTTCTTGAATGGTTACTGATCTACCGTAGCCACTTACAGTAGTCACTTACTTTTTACCCTAAGGGCCGCCTTTCTCTCTCTCTAACTACCCTTCATGACTTACGTTGTCATGGTTATGCGATAGCGAAGCAACCATGATTTGTAGACGGCTACTAGGTGGTGTTAATCTGACTTAGCCATTAGAACAACAAACAACATTCATTAGCTTGCTTTCGCTTGTACACGTATTGCATATTCCCGCCTACCGCTTGAGTTTAGTCTTATTTTTTCTCTGAATTCGAATGATGCAACCTTCAACGTGCGTGACTTGGCAGCTGGAAATATGGTCACAGACTACGAAAGTGAATAATGCTGGTCCGCCTTGCCCCTCAAGGATGGAGTTCATGCAACCCAGTATGCATCTAGTTCAACATTCTTACAAGATAATGCTGGTCGTTTGCATCAATGGCCGTTTCTGGAGTCTCCTAGTCTGACTGCTCGTTCAACGAGGGTCTGTTATTGAGTTATTTGTGGGGTAATAGTTCATTATGATGCGGCGAATTGAAAGACGCACTGGCGCTGTCTCGTCATTGCCACATTGTATTGCATGATATCCAGCGATATGCGACAGCAGGCTACTGTTAGCGTCATGATCTTAAATTTTTGCTCAGTGCGTTAAGGTTTTAACAAAGGTCCCGCTTCTTTTCACCTTAACCTTGTGCGCTACCCGAATCATCGTGATTTTACGGCAGTGAAGCACAGTTTATGTGCCGCCGTTGCTGCTGGTTTTGTGGAGACGAGCACCACTCCAGTGGAATCCGTGGATTGATCAGCGGACAAATACACAATAATGATAATAACAACAAAAGTAATAATAATAATAACGCGCTTTGGTTTGGTGGCAATCATCTTCACTGAATCACGGGCAATGCTAGTATTCAGCAAAACAAATATTCCCATTTCATCAAAATGAATCAGTAGCAGAAATTACTTCTGGGTAAAGAACTCTTTTCGGTAAACTCTTATCAGCCCGAAGCGTTTACATAGCATTGATCGTGGGACGAGCGTCAACTCGGGCTGGGAATTACTTCTGCGCTGTTTGAACGAGTCAACTCGATAACTCGCGACAGGGATAGAGATGGTGAACCAAGGAAACTAGATAAATATACATACATAAAGCTCAGTAGCCAGAACTAATTAAGTAGGAAACATAACAATCAAGTAACTATGCAATAGTGTCGGTTGTCCAACGTAGTAGTTTGGGCCGTTTGAATCGTTTTTGTACCCATAATTCCGGATTTAGTTGGTGAATGTAGATAGCCTCGGCGATGGATAAGAGCTGTTTGCAGAATCCTTGCGAGAAGCGTTCAGCCAGTGAGTGGATGCCTCGTAGTGCGATCCATGTGTCGTGCCCCACAAGAACACGAATACTGCTAAACGATCACTGAATGGGTCAACGAGGGCAGTCTACTATTTATGGTTTTATAAACAACGGCGTGTTGTGATAAACAACTCTTAGGCAAGCCGAGAAATAGGTATCCTCAACAGCATCTTTCAGGCGTCGGCATAACATATCAGCTGCAGAATCGCCCTTAAATGGTATATGTATGAAAAGCTGTTTTTAGGAGCAATACTCATAGGTGACCTTCGATTGCGTGCCGTCAAATGCTTCATGATAAATTTACCAGATAACCATTTATCCTGAGGGCTTCGCTGATTCTCTTTAGTTCTTTGTTGACGGTATCCGGTCTACAAATACTGCGCGTGTACTGCCCAGTCCATGTGTGCTTTCTGTGTACCTTTCTGCTGTATGATCCGTCTGAGTTACGGATAACTTCTACATCCAGGAAAGGTAACCGATTTTCGATTTCGTGCTCAAAGGTGAAGTGGAGATTCTCGTGTGCGTAACTGAAAGCTTTCAGCAACCGCTCCGCATGCTTTTCGGATTTGCAGGCGTGCTTACGCTACGAGGCACGAATCAGAGAACGATTTCGATGGTCATGTGCCCGTCGAACGATCCAACCTCAGACTGACGGCTAGAAGATTGATCTCACTCACTCACTGACGCTTCGTACCGCGCCGCGTCTCTACATCAACGCGCACTGACGATGTCACCTCGAGTGGGGACGAAACGTTTGCAGCCAAACTGTCGAGCTCAGCGAACACTCAGACCACCAACTGAACAACCTGTGCTACCAACATTTGCTTCTATCTCATAGTAATTACTGCCGTCATGTAGTCTACATGCCTCGTCATCATCATTACCTTCAGGCACTCGAGGGACAGAGTGATCCGATGTTAGTGGACCAAGTCCGTCGGACACCGGTGTGGGGCCTGCTCGCCTGTGTCCTCACACACCCACCGTATGTTATTACTCCATCTGTGCTCTCTCCAG